TGGAATGGTAGAGGATGAAGACAAATGTCGCTGATGTGTAAGCCGCCTTCTAAATATCGAGTTTTGTGAATTCAAACCTACCCGTTTAATTTGAAATTCTCAGGTCTTATTCAAATATGCAACAATATTCTCTATGGATGTCTGATTACTATCGAATTCGACGTCTTTCAGAGTTGGCCTTTCCTCTTCTCGACCTGTTGCGATGTTTGGTGCGTTGGCATAGTGCTTCTGATGCTATTTTTCAACCATCAACATGGTCAGCAATCTTGCACGCCTCGGGTCTAGATCTTTTGAAGATGGATGTCGCAGCCTCCCCAACTCTTTCTCCAGCTGAGTTGAACTGCATCCTTTTTCTCTTCCGCCTCCTAGCAAACGCCGTTGCCTCGGACACTTGTAGGGTAAAGCCTGGCTTCTCTGTACCCCCCTCCCTGCCCATCATCTTGGAGGAGGCCAGACGTTTTGTCAAACTCGTCGATTCACCCGTTCTGAATATTTTCGATAGAAAGAAGAATCATCTGGTGAGGAAATTTGTCGTTTTTGTTAAATCTACCCAAATAGCACGTCGAAGTGGAAGTTGTGTCAACAGAGCACGATTGGCAGAGTGGCCATCTTAAATGTGAGGATGTTCATAGATGCCAAAATGAGGATTCGCTACTTGAATAGCACTTGCTGTTCAGGCCATGTTTGGAATCAATAAGTGCTATTTCAATCGGTGGTTTATTTTCACAGGGAAAGTTCGTTGCCTCATACACCATAAATTGGATGGTAACTTCGATATGTGCACTTCTTGGTCATTTTTGTCGCGTCGATATGAAACTGTATTTTGTCCTCTTTATGAATACTCGTGCAAGTCATGCATTCTATCAATTACACGCGTAATTTAAGTCGCTGGTCATTTATTCTGCCTTGGGTTTCCTCACAGACTTGAGGTAAATCAAGATATTAGTTTTGATCTTAAAGATGGCATAATGTGATGTGAGGGAATGAGGCGACGTCTTAATTGCTATGAAATGCTATGCGATCGTATTTTTAGCAATATAAGCTCTCCAGAATGGTGAGATGGTGACGTCTGATACTACTAGAAGAACTTCTGTAAAGATAACCTATATGGGAACATGATCATTTTTGCCGATGACGAAAGAGGTATGAAAATTATAATGGGTTAAGTTCGATAATAATATTGTGGTTACAACCACAGCCGAAGGCTTCTAGTTGGTCAGTTTTGATTCCTATAAATCTGAATTATGCTGGGAATTTAAAAACGCAAAGTAAGCATTCTTCTTCTGACCTATGAAAGGCTTTTTTTCCAAATTCAGTTTGACTTTGCTGTAACGCCTAATCATTTAAAGGTGATGAGGCTGTTTTAGTCCACTTCTCTTAAATAAACCGTCTATAACCGAGGAAAATCTAAAAAATGAAGCAGAAAATTATTTGGATCATAGTTTTCCTTTATTTTAGGTAGCTCTAGCAACTCTGATGCACAACCTGACAGTTGTTGCTTACCAAACCATCAGCACTCACAACGCCATCGTCACCGCAATACCTACCTTACGGGGCTTGCCGGGGTTGTGCGTGCGAATGACAACTAATCTACTGCTCTTCACTGCTCCTACAGGTACAGAATCGGTCACCCACTACCCGCCAGAGGTTCCGCTCCGACTTCTCATCGCCCTTGCCACCGCTGTGATCTCTTCTGCTCCAGGCCCTACTGAAGGAACACCACTAAGTACAGAGTCGGAGGCCGCATTACGATTGCGCCGAGCTTGCCTTATTGGGAGCGCAGCCACCGCAAGTGGGTCCTCTGAGGCAGATGCGGATGTGCTGATGGGTTGGGAACGAATTCGTGATGTCATACACTTCTGGACGCAGTGCAAAATCGCCCAGGCATCCATTCGAGGGTGTGCAAGTGAATTACTCAGGTTGTTGGAGTAGGAATTTTGCTTCTCGACCATCGTTTACGCACTTGCGGGTGAAAATAAAGCCCATTTACTTCTTCCAATGTTTGAGTCCACAACTATCTCTTCGTGTCCGCTTTATGGCAGTCAAGCAACCTCAAATAGCGTTTCTGTTTCCTCTGGAAGTTTTCCTTCTAGTAGTTGGTCTTGAGCATTCCAAAGCGTTCTGAGATTTACTAGGATCAAGACTTAATTAGTCAAGCATCACCAGCTTACTTCTTCCAACCTCAAATAAATGAATCGATCTTTATCGAGATTATTCCACCTTTATTACTTATGTTTGAAACTCGGCATGACCCGAACTCTAACATTTACTATTCACGAGAGGAGAGGCGAGTGGTTCATGTTTGGATCAATCTAAGTCCGTTGGGGGAAATCAAAAGTACATAATTAGACTGGAGAAAATCTTGTAACAGTTCCATTGTTGGCTCTTATCAATGATTTTTTACAACTTTTTGGTGTCCGTAAAGACTATATAGCATTAGACATGGGTAAGGTTGTCGGTAGGTTTTTTGTTTGTGTTCCCACACTGATCGCATTCTTCACCATCGTAGATCACTTATTGAACGTGATAGTATTCTAACTTATCGGCTTTGCGAGTTTATGTTCCTTTCCTAAGCTGCAGAAGCATTAGGTGGGGTACTCGTAGCATTAGGAGAGGATCCAGTCTCCGATTCTGACAAGGAGATATCAAGTGCGTGTGAAGATACTGGTGCTGACCTGATAAGACTAATCTCCAGTAGCGTTTAACCTGCGCGACGAAACATTTGTTTTGTTTACATTCGTCAACGTATGGCATTGAACATCATTAGGCAGTTTGCTTTTTACCGCCTTCATGCAGTAAACGGCACAACGTTGGGAAAGGTCGCTTGGTAAGTAACGTAAGATAATGGTTCTGAAGTGGTTTACTATTCCATCTCTGAAAATGTAAAACTTCTTCATAGTCTTTATCGCATCTCCATAGGGTAACGTAAAACTTACTCTTGAGAAGTCAGATTTCGCAATTTGGGATGGAACGGGAACTGCTATCTCCTCCTTTGTATTCTCCAAACATTGCCCCAATCAGAAAACCCATTGTTAGGAAGTGCTTAGTCAGGAAGCAAGGACGGACCAAGAGCAACCTTTTCGAATCGATGGCTTAGTGATAAGTACAAGATAATCCAACGCAAAGATATGGCATGCAGATGCGAGCCTACACAGTCAAATGCTGCATCTGGGTCTGGATTTTCGAATCGGCTTAGCCGTGCGTATTTCTGATAGTAGCATGGCCTTGGAGTTGGAATAAATAATCACGTACCGTAGTTACAGCTTGGTGGAGTCCTCTCAGAGAATCAGCGTAATTGCGTAGGATGAAACGTCTTTTTAATAAACCTGGTTTGATGGAAAATCAACACGCAACCTCATCTGAGTTGCATTCCAGTCTAGTGGTATAGGAACCACACTTTCTGTGTGTGGGAATTCTCTCCCTCTTTATTTTGGGTGGAAACAGCAAGGGGACTGAGATAAGCCAGACTTTGAGGGAAGATGTGTTAACAAGATGCATTCCGCATTTCAGCTCTGTTTGAAGTAGCAAAGTGAGAAGTTACGAGGCTCTGTTAACTTCAAATTCATAATATTGATTTCGCTTTGCTTTTCTCTATGGGCTTTACGGTGCTCCTCTTAATTCTAACTCTTGAGACGAGGCTCACGGGAGGATTTTGTTTTCTCGTGAGGTCTAAGATCGGTGAGTTAACATTTCCTCTAGCTGCTGGGCCCGACTTTCTAAAAGCCCCGTTTAATCTGGAGCATGAAACCACATTTGTTACAAACGACTATGATTGTCAGGTGATGAATCAGGGAGCGGAGAGATTCGACGCTATTGTTCACTGTTGTTACACCGGTGTCGATCTCAAAGATGAGCGTGAATGGACCAGCGAGGATTATCGGGGGGTGTTAAGTCGAATCTATTTCAGCTAATTGTCTACTAGAAGCTCCTTTCTGACGCTTGGATCCTCTGAGCACTTTAAAGCAAATAAACATACTAGTAGCTTTTGAGTGAGTTTCACTTCTGAAGGAGCTGCTGTCCATACAGTCGAGATATAGTGAATTTTGTTTATTAGGGAACAAAGTCTAAAGGTAAATACGCGCTTCTTGATGCAGATGCGAGACTTTTAACTCTCTCTTGGAGCGTCAAAATTTGTAGCAATGGTTTTCTGATATAGTCTGGTTAAATCCGCATACTAAGTTTAGTTCTAAGTAAGTGTTTAAAAGTGCTTCCGACGAGAAAAGCTGTCATTTCGCCCGGAGCAGCCTGGAGTTGACTGTCATCCTGATTAACGGGGGCCATAATGTCCATCGTTAAACTCACCCGTTTACTGTGATAGAGTGTACTTTCAATCCGCAATAGGAACTCACATTCACTAACAGTGTCATTTATAAATAATCACAAAATTGCTATAAGGAGCAATACGCAATAGTGAATCTTGCATGCCTTCCATCACATCAGCAGATTTGGCCAAAATACTATTGTCTAAGTATTTCAATAGCTGTTTGTAAAATGCTCGCTTACGTAAGTGCAGGGATGTCAAGTGGTGTGAATTTTCATATTTGTTGACTGAAGTCTCTCACAGAGGCGAGTCATGACTACAGGGGAGAGTATCAAAACGTTTTCGAGACCATGTTTTGCAACAATGATTAGTAGGATAAAAGGTAACTGCCGGTAGTCTTATGGTGGTCGAAAAAGTTTGGTCAAAATGCTGTTTTTTACCTAGAAAAGGCGACCGCTACTTTTGGCGACAGTAGTCTACAGGCTTGCACCACTCTAATCGAGAGTTAAGCCGTCAGAACCAACAAGTTTAGCACAAACTCAAATATCACGGCGTTAAGTCACTTTAATAGTCATTAAACAATTTGCATACAGCGTGTTATAAAACACCTAAATGGGTGGTACACTAAACGTTCACCATAGCAAACCAAAGCTTTTCATTTGTCCTTCTTCTTCTGAGGTTGTCGATGGTATGTACGGCATGAATGGCTTCAATGTGCCGTAGAAATATGATCTGCGAAGCTTTTTTGAACGGAAGTAGACAGAGAAAAATGGCCAGTATCTTAATGCTAGTGTGCAAACATTCAGAAAACTCGAATAACCTGAATGAACGAGACCGACTGATCTTGGAGAACCACATGTAGTGAGGGATTAGATCGGTTTTAAAGAAAAATCGTCCACTATTATACTTGGGTCGTCGCCTTTTTTGGTAAATGTGGTCTGTGTACGTACTACTGATGTCTATGAATGAATGTTTTTCTTCATGGCGAAAAGGGAAGTGAAGAAAAGTGTTCCCAAAACTAGAAATGACGATTACCAACACTTCCACAGTGAAGGCAAATCAAAATTATAGTGAATGAAACCCCTTTCTCAACTGGTGGTTGGGTATAAGAAGAAAAAATAGACTGCGAGACTGGATTAAAATGAGGTAAAATTTAGAAAATTAGGGCTTGATAGAGTGAAATAAATGCGGGAAGAATATTTTTGTTTGCAGACTGTCGTCCTCTTGTAAAACTTGGCGGTAAAGGATAATCAGTTCGGAAGCAGAAACAATGTAGGCAAATGAAGTGAATTCCAAAATGTCTCGTGTGTGCTTCCTTCCATTTTATGCATATAAGTGACACCAACTGTCGCGGAGGTCCGCCTTCAGAAATGTCATCGTAAGGGGTAGACCCCTTTGGATGGACGTGGATGGCATGATTAAGGCGCCATCTCCCCAGTGTGCCGTGCAGACTGGTAAAAGGGGAGGTACGTTAGCTTGGTTACATGCCTAAAATGTTTCTTTAGCATCCAATAAATGAACGATCTTAATTGTAATTTACGTGTAACTGTTAAGGGTAAAAATGAATCCAGCTAGCTATCGGATTTGTTCATTTGGAGAATTAGAGTGATTAGACGCTTTTAAACCGCGTCTCCCTATTAGCATAGTCTGATGATGGATGGATATTGTGTCCACTTAAGCCGTACTGCGGGCTTGTCAAAACATGCTAAAGTTTGCTACAAGAGTCATTCACGAAAACGAAGTCGCAAGTATGCAGGTTCTAAGGCCGCGCCAATGAGTAACTCCCTGACAAAGCATTGACAAGCTTTTGTTCAAAAGGATCGGCACATGCTGATACTGAAAAAATCACTTGCAGGCGTGATTAATACATACGTATCAAGGTTCCAGAAATGGGCAGTTATGTTTATTTGAACGATTTGGGAAAAACTGATGATCATCTCAATTGTAGTTTGAAGATTTACTTCAATGTGCATAAAGGACTTCGTTAAAATAGTAACTTTATCAACTCGGAACAAAATTCTCCTCACTGTCATGTTTGTTCTTGTCGATTTTAGAGTAGGTTATTGAAAGTGCCCCCATGATGAATTGACTTCCCATCACAAATCGAATTCCTGTAGAATCCATTTGTTAAAGAACAATATAAGTGTAAACTAGCGTACCACTTAAAAGCCGCAATGCTGATTCGCATTTCACAGCATCAGAAGTCGCAGCAAATATGGAATGCCATGTGTAGAAGAGCTGGAACCTGATTGGTGACGGAGACGACCGCCACCCTTTCGCCTTCTGATTGGCTAAAGCACTGCACACAGGTATGCGCACACCTTTCCCTTCTGTAAGTGAATTCAAAGGGCTGCGAAGCCATGGGACTGAAACACCTTCAATTATCCATCCTCGTTCTCTCTTTGGCCGCTCTTTGTGTTGCTCTGGTCCTGCCTCATTGGCACTGTGGCAGTCTTTTTGAAAAGTGCACTCAGGAAGGAGCTTCCAAGCGTGATGTTATGTTAGCGGTGACATGTTGTCTAGTGATTGGAATTACCATGCTTGCTGTAGTTTGTATTATCGACTTCATCCACCTTTGTTCTGACACTCGCTCCGGTGTGGAGAGAGGTGTAAGGCTAGTTCTCCTTTATATCGGTTCCCTACTCACACTCGCGGCCGTCATTCTGTACACCGTGGAGATTTCTGCCTCTTGGTCTTACTTCATTGCCACTTGTGGATCAATATTTGCGGTGCAGTTGTCATTGATGGGGCTGCTCTACGGACGGTGCTGCAACACCTACAGTGGCGGGGTGAGGATCAACGAATGTCACTAAAACTATGGTAAATAAGGCGCTTGCACCATACTCACTACTATTTATTTGTATGATACTAACTAGCATCTCTCGCTCATTAAATTGCTTAAACTTCCTTCATTCCGGATAGCTGCTTTCGCCAGCATACCAACTTATGCTTACGTCTATTCACAGCCTCACAAAAATTTCACAAGTTTGCCTTAATGGGAGTCCACTTAATCTTGAAATGAATTTTAATTTAAAAACAAATAATATTATGCTTTCTACTTCTTCACTTGTACCGCACAGTGTCATACTTAAAAGCCCACGTCTGGTCTTTCGAAAAAGCCAAAAATGCTGGCTTAAAAGGATGCAGTAATTAAGACGTCGCAGGTATAACAACAACTCATTGAGCGATTGAAAAATGGTTCCGAAGTCTCGATTGCTTCCTCGTAAGAAAATGCGTATGATAGGTAAAGTGACAAAAAAATTTGGAAAGTAATATATCAAGTGGCTTCACAGCTGAAACTAGAGATCGAAATAGGTGCACAAAGGGGTTATTAATCGCTCAGTTTTCCGTTGCTCATCAATCAAATTGAATGCGGTTCCATATGTATTAGCAAAGGATGTGCATCTATGGAGAGGAATTTGGTGATCCGAATGGGTTTGTAATACTGGTCGTTAAAATTTGGAACTGCAAACCTAACCATAGGGATGAACTCATGCACGGTCGAAATTATTGCTTTTTAATTGTTCACAATGACCTCTAAGGTTACTTGAGAATAATAAAATTGAGAGACAACGTTGGTGGGTAAATTAGATTCCGATCAAATTGCCGTTCATTTCAACGTTGCCATGCGACAATATGAAATGCATTGATCAAGTTTTGAAAGCCTTCAAGAAGGCACCTTTAAAGTACGGAGACATTAGACTGAAATTGTTGAAAAGAAAAGAACGACTTCATGTGGAAACGCGGTAGCCATTCAGTTTTGTGATTAGTTTGAAATCGTGAAACAATAAAATTTGCCCCTCTACCTTCAAACTTTGGTACTGCAATCCTAAAACCTGACATTTACAGCTATTGCTGCTTTAAAGGACATATTGCTCCCACAAAAATTCTTACTTATCTAGCACTTTCGTAATGGAATTTAGCAATAGCCATGATAGAGAGGTTATCACAGTCCGCATATTTTTAGTGCTGATGCCTCTAACGAACGCAATGCCTAGACAGCCTTTAAACTGAAACACTAGCAATGATTTGGTCCACTTGACGCG